TCTCGGTTTCTATATCAGCCAACATCAATACAAACACCAAATATAAATTAACCTTGACACATTGTCAGATTTGTTCTCTATTTATATGCAAGAATCTACAAACTTTATCATCAAATTTAAATGCTTTAAGATGAACAGCTCTGACGAGGATTTTCTGTTATTTTTTTTATTAGGTAATTTTTTGATAAATGTATAGGTTCGCTTCAAGTTAATTAAAAATAATTGAACAAATTATGGGTTTAAAAAAAAAAAAAAATCTTGTTACCTACCTGATATGAAGCTCGTAGGAAAAATGTTGTTCCTAACACGTGCGCAAAGTGTCTTTTCCGCACGCAAACACGTATCCGAACTCCGCTTCGCGTCGTTCGTATAACTGTGTTTGCGTGCGGAAAAGTGACACTTTGCGCACTTGTTAGGAAAATAACTATTCTAGCACAATAGTGCTTCGAGCACAGTGCATGCAAGCACTTTTAAAATATAGTGCTTGGTATTTGGTAATTGAAGCTTTGAAAGCACTTGAGAAGCTTGCAAGGTCTTTGATGGGCTTGCAAGCACTATTAGATTTGAATGCTCGGAAGCATTTAAAGTATTTATTTGTCACTCATTTGTAAAACGTCATTTATCAAGTCAAAACATAAACAACGAAAATTGATTTTTACCAGTTACTGGCTCTACTGACTTGTAAAATTGACAGCTAAACTGTAAAAACTTTTTACAAGTCAGTAGGGTCAGTAGAATTATTTATTTAAATTGTATTACCTGTGTATTAATTTTTTATTTATTGTTTACAAACGAGTAACATAGTAGATTATACCACGAGTCAATAATGATAGCTATTATTCCCGAGGAATATTTACGAACTGAGCCGCGTTAGCGGCGAGGGAGTAACATTCCGAGGGAATAATAGCCATTATTGCGAGTAGTATACTCTACTTTATTTACGACAAATTAATTTATTTGAAATTTTCTTTCCAAAAACGCTCTTTGTTCATTCATCTCAATACAAATACACAAGCACTACGCGTTTGACACTGACACTTTTGAGTTTGTTCAGGTATATTGTTTCCATGGTAGGTACTACTTATTTAATTTGAGAAATTTTGTGATTGGTGTGCAAGCGGGAATAATGACCATTAATCCCTGCGGGAATAATATATGGCATTATACTGCCAAAATCACATATGTAATACTTACATTATATGTCAGTCGTAAATAAAATAAATTATTGTACATCATACGCCAGGTATCAGTTTTTACTGGCTCTTGAAGGTGACAAGCTCGCCTGACGGCTCGCTAGTCATTTCCTTCAATCACCAGTAAAAACTGTTTTACCTGGCTAATAATGTAAAATACTATTTCGAGCACTCTATATGGAAAAGTGCTAAGAAACAACATATTAACAACTTATCAACTATCATAAAATTCTAAATAGAACTGTTCATACCTACCCGCTGCCTTTCCTCTGTACCTTCCCCCTTCATAGATTGCAGGTAATTTATGCTCATATTTTTCGGCCAGCCAAAAATTCATTTATCGCCGGCGAAAATGATGTTAGAACTAAGCGGCAAATAATAGAAGCCATTTTCAATAATATAGTATTTTACATTATAAGCCAGGTAAAACAGTTTTTACTGGAGATTGAAGGAAATGACTAGCGAGCCGTCAGGCGAGCTTGTCACCTTCAAGAGCCAGTAAAAACTGCTACCTGGCGTATAATGTACAATAATTTATTTGTTACTCTTCCAGAAGTAATTATTCTTGTGATAAAACTGATTTTTTCTACTGACATTTCATAATACGCTATTAAACGATTAAAATCTGTATCATAATGAACTTCATTACGATACCGATTTTCATTATAATACTCATTTTTAATATTATACAATGTTGATAGATGGCAGCACTAGTTAAGATATTAAACATTTTAAACGGTAATTTTGCGTAAAACAATTATTTTGATAACTATAAAAAAGACTCTGAATTGTTTAAAAGTTACCTAAAGTTTGGGACAAAGAATAATTATTATGGAAATCATGAATGATAAGGAAGAATTTTTACTTTTTTCATTATTATACATTGTCAATAGATGGCGCCACCAGTTAAAAAAATTTGGTTTTTTTTTTTGAATGTTGGCAGCACTCTGTTTATAGCTTTTCCATTGTAATTTAGCGAAAAACAATAATTTTATTAAAAAAATACTTCGAATTGTTATTAAAAGTAACCTAATGTTTGGGATAAGGCATTAATATGGAAATTGTGTGATATTGTGTGATAACACTGATAACGAAGAATTTTCACTAACACCTCCAGAAATTACAGAAAGGGCGACAAATGCAGGTAATATTATACTACGGACAAGTCCAAGAAAATTTACGAAAAATTATATAGACAATTTATGGATTGGAAACACCAAAAACACATCGTCCTTCTCAGAAAATGTTTTAATAGTATATTTTGGACAATTACAACAAAAAATGAAACCTTCAACTGCATGGATTACTGAATTATAAAATCTCTATTCAAAGTTAAGCATAATGTTGACATATATCTAAATATAAGTTTTATCAATGGCAGTAGAAAAAATAGTGTATGCAACTCTCATGTAATGGCCATTAATACACGAGCATGTTGTAGGATACGAAACGAGCCGCAGGCGAGTTTCGTATATAACATGCGAGTGAGTTACATGATCATTGCATAATATACTATTTTAAAAATAAATAATTCTACTGACTTGTAAAAAGTTTTTACCTACGAGCGTGCGGTAAAGTGCACTTTACCGCACGTATTTGCAAATGGAAAGTATTACTTTACCGCACACTATGCGGTAAAGTGCACTTTACCGCATAGTGTGCGGTAAAGTTAACTTTACAGCATAGTATGCGGTAAAGTAGAATACAAAGTATGCGGTAAAGTGCACTTTACCGCATAGTGTGCGGTAATGTAGAATTTGATATTTATAATAAAAATCCTCTCTCTTTCAGAAAATGGACTTTTGATCATTTCTAAATCTTATTTAATTTCATTAATTAATCTGATTCATTAATTAATTTTATCAATGCCTTTTTTTTGGAGATGTAGATGCTCATAGGTAAAATTTTGTACCTAACACATGCGGAAAGTGCCTTTACCGCACTTAACGGCTTGACCGAACTCCGCTTCGCGTCGTTCGATCAACTGCCGTGCGGTGAAGTATCACTTTACGCATTTGTTAGGTAAATAACTATTCAGTTTAGTTGTCAATTTTACAAGTCAGTAGAACCAGTAGCTGGTAAAAATCAATTTTCGTTGTGTATGTTTTGACTTGATAAATGACGTTTTACAAATGAGTGACAAATAAAATTATTTTTCTACAAACGTCACTAAAAGTGTCATTTTTAACGGATGCTGTCAGTGTCTAAAATGCCATTTTATGAAACTGGTGTTAAAAGTGATTACTTTTAGCACTAGTGCTAAAAGTAATCACTTTTAGCACTGATCAGAAAATATAAAAACATAGGAAATTTTAAATCAAAATAAAATATTTATTTAATTAAACGTACAATTAGCGAAACTGCAATTAGAATAAGAAACTCCATGGCCAATCTCGTTGGTAGCAGTTACTGAATTTATTTTGGTAAAACTTGTACCAGGAGGGCAAAGAGCAATGTTATTCCCCGAAGTTTTGGGCAGAATTTGATCCGCAATGTTCTTTTTATTTTGTAGCGAGTCTTCTATATACCCCTCCGCTACTGTACTAGACTTCCATCCACCGTGTCTCTTGATTATAGTAAGATTAGCACCAGAGTCCGCCAACAAACTCGCTGAGGAACGTCGGAAACAATGTCCAGTATAAAGATGGGGATCAGGCAAATTCAGAAATTTAGCGATTTCGGCAGGGATCTTACCAAATGTGTTGATTCCAACTGGAGTCTTGGCACATTTATTATTGCTGTATTTTATAAAAAATCTTGAGTGATTGATATCCGCTGGTCGAAGGGATAGGTACTTCTTATAGTAGTTTATATACAATGTACCACTAATAACGTAATTTCGTTGCACATTAGTTTTAGTGTCTGGTATATGCACAACTAATGAAGTTCCCAAATCTTCAATGTTATTTAATATCAAATTGCAAAGTTCTTCTCGACGGCAAGCTCCAAATACACCGAAAATTGCGGCAACTTTTTGCATAAGATGTATTTCATCCGGGGCTTCTGCGAGAAATTTATCGATTTGTTCACTCCGCAATACTTTTGACTTTTTCGGTCGATATCCTTCACCCTTTCGCTTTAAAAAAGCTACAAGCTTGTAAAATCTGCTTATGTCCTGATTATTTATGTTCATCATCGCCTTTATCATTGAGTAATTTGACCAAAGCGTAGAAGATTTCCATATTTTTGATTTTTCTTCAAAGTATGCAAGGAGCACTTTTTCACTGGCCTCCTTGCCACTTACTTTTTTTTCATCACACCATTTCAAGAAACGATCGTATGAAAACTCGTACTGTTGCTTTGACTTGCTATGCAATAATTCAAAAGTAGCTTTATTGGCAGCTTCTTCAATTTCCGCCGGGAGAAATTCATTGTCTTGATCACTTTCCATCGCCCAGAAAATAAACCACAATGAAACTGGATGAAACCACGCAAAAACCAAAAATTGTGCAAATACCTTAAGCAAAAATTCGTGATTATTTGACGTTACTAATCAACAATGACAAACAGAGATGACAAATAAAAATAAACAAATTCGTTTTTTTTCTTGCCAGCAACCTATTTCATAAATAAATTAGATGAAAGATTTGAAATTGAGGATTGCAAGGATGCGTTAATTGGACTTTTAAAGAGTGTTTGTAGAAAAAATAGTGTATGATATTCGTGCTAAAAGTGATTTTATTTTGTTCAAAGGGATGGAACACTCCGCCTTCGGCGTCGTGTCCCAAACTTCCCTTTTCACAAAATAAAATGTCACTTTTAGCACTTATATCATAAATAACTATTTTATATTATATTTCCACACCGATTAAAAAGATAATTGGACCATTCTCCTTGATTAAAAGCTGTTATAAATCTTGAAATCTAGTATTTCAATCAACATTAAGTTTCCTAAAACTTCCATAATAACCAAGAATTTCGTCATTTTGCAGTTTGGTCGGTCTTAAAGATTCATCTACGGTTAGTTTTTCCAGTTCAAGAAATCGATCTTTGTGAAGTTCATATTGCTGATGCAACATGTCTAAAATTCAATTAAAAAAATTACTAGAGTTTCAATAGACTTTTAGAAAATGTTCATACCATTTATTTCCTCTAAGGACTTCTCTTCACCTCCTATATCTCTAGGCATTCGCTCCTTGCCGAATAATTCAAATAAAATATCATTACCAGAATGTATTTGGAGCTAAACAAAATAACAATTGATATATTTATTGAAGGGAAGGTATTATATAAATTATAGTAAAGTCCAACAAACACCATTTTAAAGTCACGTGATTTTTCTCTATCCTTGTTGAATACATCTTAAACAGCGGTGATAGTAAAATTGAAAAAAAAAATTGGTGTCTATATATTGTTCATATTATTCTTACCTGAAATAGAATCCCTCACTGTCATCAATTAGGCAATCCAACGATGTGTCAAATATGGCCGACTGTTGGCACACATGTGCCCATAACCCCAAATTTCTTGTGTCATCAGTCAACGTCCCTTGTGTTTACCTTTGACGTTGGGAATTTTAAAATAATTAATTCCAGCTTTTTACAAATTTCCTTTCAAAATATTTCCAAATAATTGTGAGTGTGTGTTTTTTTAGGTCTCAAAACTCACAAAATTAAGCAATAAATTAAGCATAAGCAGCAAAATACGCAGTCAACACAGAAAATGACACACCGTGCATTCGGTATTTTGATCAAAGTTCTCCGAGCTTGAATTCACCGTTCGTTTATTCGAAAAGTGTACTCGGAGCAAGCTCATTTGCGTTCGATTATTAAAATTTCGGGCACTCGGATACTGCGTTCAACTGCTCTGTTCGCTCGCTGGTCACGTGATTACGGCTCCGTTCAGCACGCTCTGCTCTTTGAACAAAATACCGAACGCAAGGACAATATTAAACCAAGAAAATCTTTTGTGTGCCAACAATCCGTCAAAAAAAGTCACGTGGTTTGGATTGCCTAATTAGTTCGTCAAAGTTATTTTCGAAAATGATACAACGAACAAACACAGCTAATAATTTTGACTATATTAACCTTTTTCCAACTCGAAAAGAAGCAAAGAGAAAACTTGAATTAGGTACCCAATTCAAGTTCAGAATGTATAACAACCGACAGCAGATGAGACAAAAGTGAGTCTCGCAACAATTGCAAGTATTAAAATTTCCATCTGATTTGCCAATACTACTTCAGAAACGCGTTTGTAAAATGCTAGTGGGAACATATCCTAAAATTCAATAGTAATTAACCACCAGTAGCTTTTTGTAGGTGATATCAACGACATAATCAATGAACATACGTTTTTTGCCACCAATATCACGTGACTTTAAAATGGTATTTGTCGGACTTTAACTTACTCGTTCTCTTATTTTTTTAATAAGAATTGGTTTGATAATTGTGTTAACAAAGTTTTCCAAAAACGCCGGAAAGTTTACTACGTGCAGCGAAGCTAATCGATTGGAAAATACTTTCTGGAAATGATGAGTAGTGATTAAGCTTTAATCTAGAGAAGAAAAAAAAATTATTCAACTTCTAATTAGATTTCCTCGGAAAAACATTAACATCAACTTTCAAGAAATATGCCTTACGTTGACCAAGGAAATATTTTAAACAAAACTTGAAAGAAGAGAAAACTTTGGTGGGTTGGTTGAAAGCCCCTAAAACCAAAACTTAGGTATACTCTCAAAAACGTTTGTTAATTTTAGTTTATTTAGAAAAACTTGCCCAAAATTCATGGACCTGAATAAATAAATAACTTCTTACTTCCACAATAATCTGACACTTCTTTATGACCATAAGACTTGCCTTGGCAGCATGTCCCAATTGCAGGCGATCACAATCGCAAATGCAATGAGTACGATAAGACAAGTCATTTTCGCCAATTAATGTCAATAAATGTATAAACTGGACTGCTAGATGTTCATGAACAAAATATTTTGGATCCGCATACTCCGGATTCAATTTGCCGTAGATGATTCTAACATGGTCGTCTGCTAATTTTGGAAGTGGAACCAGATAACTAAAAATTGTGCTTCGTTAATATAGGCACATATAGATTTCGGTAATTTAATTACCCATTTCTGGGTGCACCCAACAGAAGTGAACTTTAATTTTCATGTTACACTGGCTTAATCAGTTAAAATATAGGATAGAGTATTGATTGCTTAACAACACAATGATATTCTTACGAAGTTGCCTCGGGAGCCCGGCCAGATTCTAAGAAATGTAATTGTCTACGCGTCGCGTAAACAATTCGGAGAATTCTATTCAAGTAGGACGCCAGGTTTTTCTAGATAAATCGAGTTCACTGTCTGCTATAACTGAATTTTATAAATTCAAAAGACCTATCTATTTTACCAGACAAAGAGGTAATAATACGAAAACTTCATTAGATAAAAGAAGACGCAGAACGCTCATTGCGCAAAACGAGGCAAAACCGGCAAAACAGGCAAAACATACCAAATTATGTTAGACTTACGTACCTATAGCAATCCGTCCTTCTCATTTGCACTATTTTACACCGGATGAAAAGGAAAAGAGAATTAAAGACCGCGTGTTGTGGAACGTATTTGTCAATCAAAAACTCAAACAACTTTTGAAGTTTCCTAGCAATGATGCGGCCTTGAAAATCGATCACTTTTCAAGTTGAGTATCAACCGTATTTTTATCCTTGTCCGACCACGGGCAATGAACAAGGATAAGGAGATGCCCATCATGCAAAACGAATACCTCTTACCTGTACTAGGTAGCCAATAAAAATGCATTGCCTGTTGTTGCGCGCCCATACAGGTAAAAATAGATAGGTCTATTATTTCAATATTAAGTTTGTGAAGTGAGTTTTAGTGAATCCCGGAATCCGTGACAATATATATCGGGAAAGATGAAAAAACTCTCAACAAAACATAGAAAGTAGTTTCAACCTTTACCATATTTTCCGCTGAAAAATCATATCTTTAGTCAAGGGATTATTACGGAAAAATTCCGGCATTAAACTCCTAGCCGTATAAAACATGTCCAGCTTTTGCTTGGCTGCTTCTACACTGAATTTATTATACAGAATGACAAAACGAAGCAAATTAACATCTAAAAATATTATATTTACCTACTTAAAAAAAAAATAATCAACATTCATGGTTCTTACTTGGTTTTTCAGGAAAATGCTTTTGAGCTTCAGCCCATTCTCTCATTATATGAATAAAGCTATTTAGGTCTTCTTTGGTTTTGTTGTAATCCTTGAAAAGCTGTTGGTAAAATTCATTTTCATCGTATTCTAATAGATTATTTGCCATTTTAACGTAGACTCATCCCTGAAAAGGACGATAACAATAGGTACATATTTTTTTTTTATAACATAATTACTCAGATGAATGTTTTCACAACAACAATAATTATCAAATACTGGTATTTGATATCAATAGAATTATTTTAATCTATCAACAAGACGTTGTTAGACAAATGAGTAAGACTTTTAGGAACTTACCTACCACTAAAAAAAAATTATTCACCGTATAATCGAGAATCACTATGTAAGCTAATTAAACTTGATATTAAATTAACGATAAACTCTTCCACTTTTATGTGAAACTTTGCGAAAATATTTACATTCCAGAAATGCAAAAACACAAATTAATTAGTTAGGTACTTTTTATAAGCTGTTTTTCCACTAGATATTTTATATTGTCTCCTAATTATTATGTTTATCGGCTTATGCATCATTATAAATAAACCACCAATCAATTTTCAGGCACCTATTTTCTACTTCCGAAATATCTATAAAGTAAATAATGTTCCCAAATAATCCCAGTCTGTGATTTGAGCAGAAAAGCATTTAGATAATTTCTACAGATTTTTCGACTGAATATTTTTATATGTAAAGCGCGTAGTTTGTAAAGTGCCACAACTGAATGAACCTGTGTGGGAGGAATGCGGGCAAAACCCTTCTGATTGGCGCGAGATTAAATATACATATACGCTGGTCGTCGCGTCAAGGTAACCGCAATTTTCGCAGTGCACCACGTCGGGGACCTGTCGCGTCGTATAGTATAGGTTTTCGTTTTCCCCTCTGCTTCTTCATACGTTGCCAAGGTTCATTCAGTTGTCGCACTTCAGATCAGGGAGACATAGAGAAAAGAAGAGGACCAACACGCAGCACTTTTATAACAAGAAGATCAGAAAAAAAGCAAGAAGAACAGGACCGGTGCAGTAAATTTTTTAATTTTTTACGATAATTGAAATCGTAACCTCTGAGGAAGAAACCAGAGTCCACAGTCCAGACTCGAGAAAATCCTGGAAGGGCAAGATAAAAAATTCAAAAATGCAATAGAAATACTAGGTAACCTGAAGACGTTGGTAGTGTTCGCTAGGAAATTAGAACTGTTTATCAGGTCGTTATTCAGATACCTAATGCTTGGAGTTGTGGTGACATGGCTGAAGACTTGATTGTAGCATTGCGTGGCCCTGCCCTAAACCAAACCCAGACCTATTAGAGACTCTTTCGCCAACTTTCCAACAAAACTATGGTGGGCTTGCTTGGGCATTATTAGAGAGTCATTATAAGGATCAGTAACGACAGCAGCTTTACCAGGTACATACAGTTGAAAACAAGACAACAGAAAGCTGTCGAAAATTTGTAAGAAGTTGAATCCGATATCCGTCATCTAGGTAATTTGGAAGCAGCTGCAGAAATACGAGAACAACTAGCGGTCGAAAATATCATCAATGGCATTGGAAATATGGATGTAGGTACAGAGAATGTTGCTCATAATTAACCCATCCAGCGCAGCTCTAATTAAAACACTAGAAATCCAAAAAGAACAAATAAGAGAATTGGAGAGTCATTGAGGTTATTTCCGGAACCAAAGGTTGTTACCAAATTTTATCGCTGCCAGATGAAGAAGATTTCATTCTTTCATACAGTTCTTGCCCAGTAAGGAAGATTTCATGCGTGACTGTAGAGAATGATCGAAATATCGCTCTCCCTAATGGACTCGGAGCTTTCTGTGAGGAAATTGAAAGGAGGCATCGAATGTTACCGCTACGGAAGAATCGAGCGGACATAAACGTGACTGTAGAGATGGAAGAAGTTTGATGTGATATGACTGCTGATCCAAGCAGGTCAATACCTATTGAAAAATGTCTGTATGTTTGAGGTGGATTTATTCAACAGGTCGATATTATCCTTCAAACAGAAGTTCTACAGATTTATACGATGAGGAATACTACCTGTACTATGAGTGCAACACCATCGGCGCAGGCGCAGACTAGGCGAATGTCACCATAGAACTCGTGGGCATTATTCTTCTTGTTCTCGTAACGTCATTTCATAGTAAATGGACAGAAAGGCATCCAAGAGGACATTAATTTGGCAGGCATAGAGATCAGACGATGGAGATGATTACGAGTATGACGAAGAACATAGATCTACATGATATTATTTGCAGAACTGGTTCTGACGACCCTGAAAGGCGTCGTTCTGCTGGAAGTAGGGAAATAAAGATTATTAGATGGATTCATTATGGAGCTGAGTGGATATATAGACATAGAAAAGTAGCTGGTGCATCTTGACAGGGTAGAGATCGGAACGAATTATTTCAAGAGAGAGCTGTAAAAATGCTTTGGTGCGGAAAAGCCGACGCCACTGTGCGCACGACCGTTGCGAGAATCTTCAGGAATTTGTTTCTATTATGTGCATTGAATGAAGTAAAATTTACGAATATTCTACAGAGACTTCTTGGTGGATTGGTGATTGATTTCGTATGTAAAAGCATAAATTGTGGATAATTATCTTTATTTGTTACTTGGATAAAAATCCCTCTTTATAGGGCTTGCAAGTGCAAGTAGATTTGAGTACTCGCAAGCATTTAAAGTGTTTTCGAGCACTCTACATACACTCTAATAGAACTGTTCATAACCACCGCCTTTCATGCACCTTCCTCCTTCATATATGGCAGGTAATTTGTGCTTATAATTTTCGGCAGGCCAAAAATTAATTTATTGCCGGCGAAAATGCTAGGACTAAGCGGCAAATAAAAGAATCCTCCTTCAATATCTATTAAATTACTTTTATATTATATTTCTACACCGATTAAAAAAATATTTGGACAATTCTCCTTAATTAAAATCTGTTAAAGATCTTGAAATCTAGTATTTCAATCTACATTTTCCTAAAACTTCCATAATAACCAAGAATTTCGTCATTTTGCAGTTTGGCCGGTCTCAAAGATTCATCTACGGTTAGTTTTTCCAGTTCAAGAAATCGATCTTTGTGAAGTTCATATTGTTGATGCAACATGTCTAAGATTCAATTAAAAGTATCATTAGAGTTTCAATAAACTTTTAGAAAATGTTCATACCATTTATTTCCTCTAAAGACTTCTCTTCACCTCCTATATCTCTAGGCATTCGCTCCTTGCCGAATAATTCAAATAAAATCTCATTACCAGTATGTATTTGGAGCTAAACAAAATAACAAATTGATATATTTATTGAAGGTTATTATATAAATTATAGTAACTTACTCGTTCTCTTAATTTTTTAATAAGAATTGGTTTGATAATTGTGTTAACAAAGTTTTCCAAAAACGCCGGAAAGTTTACTAAGTGCAGCGAAGCTATTCGATTGGAAAATACTTTCTAGAAATGATGAGTAGTGATTAAACTTTAATCTTGGAAAGAAAAAAAAATGTATTCAACTTCTAATTTAGATTTCCTCGGAAAAACATTAACATCAACTTTCAAGAAATATACCTTACGTTGACAAAGGAAATATTTTAAACAAAACTTGAAAGAAGAGAAAACTTTGGTAAGTTGGTTGAAACGTCTTACAACGTAGGTATACTCTCAAAAACTTGCCTAAAATTCATAGACCTGAATAAATAAATAACTTCTTACTTCCAAAATAATCTGACACTTCTTTATGATCATAAGACTTGCCTTAGCAACATGTCCCAATTGCAGGCAATCACAATCGCAAATGCAATGAGTACGATAAGACAAGTCATTTTTGCCAATTAATGTGAATAAATGTATAAACTGGACTGCTACATGTTTATGAACGAAATATTTTGGATCTGCAAACTCCGGATTCAATTTGACGTAGATGATTCTAACATGGTCGTCTGCTAATTTTGGAAGTGGAACCATATAACTAAAAATTGTGCTTCGTTAATATAGGTACATATAGATTTCGGTAATTTAATTACCCATTTCTGGGTTCACCCAACAGAAGTGAACTTTAAGTTTCATGTTACACTGGCTTAATCAGTTAAAATATAGGATAGAGTATTGATTGCTTAACTTGATATTCTTACGAAATTGCCTCGGGAGCTCAGCCAGATTCTAAGAAATGTAATCGTCTGGGCGTCGCGTAAGCAATTCGGAGAATTCTATATTCAAGTAGGGCGCCAGGGTTTTCTAGACAAATCCCGAGTAGACTGTCCGCTATAGATAGCTACTGAGCGCGAAGTAATAGCCCAAAGCAAGTCAGTTTTAACTCGACATTTGTTGTGTATGTTCCGATAAGTGATTTTTATAAAGTCTATTAGTTCAATGTTAGTTTGTGAAGTGATTTTCAGTGAATCACGGACTCCGTGACAATATACAGGGTGTCCCAATAGAAAATGACCGATTGTAAATGCTTATAACTTCTAAACCAGGTGTGCTAGCTACCTGCGATCTGCACCATTCGACTTCTCTTGGCCTAAAGTTTTTTTCATTTAGTTGCAAATTTTTTTCACACTTATACCGGGCGAGCGAGTAAAAAAATGCCGTTTTTCAACATCGAAATTCTCCACTATTTTTATTGAAACACCATGTATGTTGCAACGCAAAAATTAAGAGTAGTGTACAAGGTATTGATGTACCAATAAACATCGGGCATGGAACTTGAAGTTTCAGCCCTAAAAAATTGAAATAGAAGTCTGGCCCAAAAATAAATGCATTTTTTTAGGTTCAAAAAAGACCGACGTTTATTATTGGCAAATGAATACCTTGGTCACGACTCTTCATTTTGGCGTTGCAACATACAGAGTGTTCCATTAAAAATAGTGGAGAATTTCGATGTTGAAAAACGGCATTTTTTTACTCGCCCTGTATAGGTGTGAAAAAAATTTGCAAATATCTGAAAAAAAACTTCAGGCCAAGAAAAGTCGAATGGCGCAAATCGCAGGTAGCTAGCACACCTGGTTTAAAAGTTCATAAGTATTTAAAATCGGTCACTTTTTATTGGGACACCCTGTATATCGGGAAAAGAAGAAAAAACTCTCAACAAAACATAGAAATTAGTTTCAATCTTTACCATAGTTTCCGTTGAAAAATCATATCTTCAGTCAAGGGATTATTACAGAAAAATTCCGGCATTAAGCTTCTTGCGGTATAAAACATGTCCAGCTTTTGCTTGGCTGCTTCTACACTGAATTTATTATACAGAATGACAAAACGAAGCAAATTAACATCTAAAAATATTATATTTACCTTATTAAAAAAAAAAAATCAACATTCATAGTTCTTACTTGGTTTTTCAGGAAAATGCTTTTGAGTTTCAGCCCATTCTCTCATTATATTAATAAAGCTATTTAGGTCTTCTTTGGTTTTGTTGAAATCCTTGAAAAGCTGTTGGTAAAATTCTTGTTCATCGTATTCTAATAGATTATTAGCCATTTTAACGTAGACTTATCCCTGAAAAGGCCTAAAACAATAGGTACATAATTTTTTGCTCTATAACATAATTACTCAAATGAATGTTTTCACAACAAAAATAATTATTAAATACCGGTATTTGTTGTCAATAAAATTATTTTAATCTATTAACAAGACGTAAGACCTTTTTATTGGACAAATGAGTGAGACTTTAAGGAACTTACCTACCACTGAAAAAAATTATTCACCGTATAATCGAGAATCACTATAAGCTGATTAAACTTTGTATTAAATTAAAAATGAATTCTTCCACATTTATGTGAATGCGAAAATATTTACATTCCAGAAATGCAAAAACACAAATTAAGTAGTTACTTTTGATAAGTTGTTTTTACACTAGATATTTAATATCGTCTCCTAATTATGTTTATCTAGTCTAGGAAAATTGTCGAAAAATACATGCATTGCAAAAAAAAAAAAATTCTACCCAAGTGAATTTTCCAGGGATGATTGGGAGCGGATGGGTGATCATAAAACCGAAGATATCAAACATTCACCCCTCTGGCGTTTGGCGCTATAGGGGTTGAAAGTGCGCCATTGGCGATTACTTGGTACCTATTGATTTAACAAAAAAATTATTCAAATAAAAGATGTGCAACATTATTTGATCTACAATGTTTATCCAAAGACTTTTCTGATTAAGGGCCGTCTGTGGTCATAAGGGCCATTTGAAATTTTTAATGAAAATAAATTTTTTTAACGAACGTGAAAAAAATTTCTACAACACATACAACGTTTTTGCTTTATGAAATTTTTACTCACCCTGCCGTTTTTCAATAGGGGTAGTTTAAAGTTTTACGAAAAAATTTTCTTATTAAAAGTTTCATAAGATTACATTTCCGACAATTTTTCCCTATCAACTTTTTTTGTAACTCACCCCTATTCAGCGGGGGGACACATCCCTTAAGGAAATTTTAGTTTTTAGGGGTATATACCTATACCCCAAGCTAAGATTCCATATGGTATTCGACTTTCAATAAGTGCGTAGAATAGAATTTTTAATTGGTTAATGCCTAATATTTTTCTAAGATAGTTACTTGAATCTAAACAGCATCACTCTAATTGTGTTTGTGACTTTTTTCGTATGCTGAATCCATTTCAAATAAGGATCAAAGTGAACCCCTAAGTATTTAATGGTGTTGGTAAATTTTATTTTGATTTCATTAATACCAAGGGTGTCGAAATTTGACATGTTTCTGCTGCTACATGTAAATGGCATAAAGTAAGTTTTTTTTTTATTTTACAGTTAAAAGTTTGTGATATCAAAAATTATTTTTAGGTTTTTTTCTGTCTGAAATTTTTAGTTCCTGCCAGGTTTTAGCAGTAAAAAATATAACAGTATCGTCACAAAAGCTTAAAATCTCTCCGTCTAATGGTTGCTCAAGAATACTGTTGATGAAAAGGGTAAACAGAACCGGGCCAACTACCGTACCCTGTGGGACACCACTAACATAGTTTTTATGTTTGTATTTTGTTTTCTATCTGTTAGGTGGGGATGAACGAGTCTCCAGGACGACCCCCGAAATCCCAGATCCCGCAAATACTCCAACTGCGAATGGCTCATGATAGGAGGAATGTTGTCGAAGCTAGTGTTTCCCATTAATTTCTCCCAGTCCTCGTGTATCAAAGTTTCACAATGCCTAACAGAATTCTGCCACATATCTGAAGTATAGGCAAACAAAAACGCCTTTTTCCATAAACTTACAACTCTGTTTTTCGATGAAGCTTCCTCGTTTATCTTGTAAAATTTCTTAGTAAACCCTCATGCCGTCTCAATAGGATTATATTGACAATGGTATAGAGGTAATTTAAGAACTTCATGGTTATGTCTACCGAGAACCTTATCAATTACATATTTTTTGTTCCCTGTTTCCCTAAATGGTTTGATCAATTCCCATTATTTTTGTTTTTGTAAGTCCGTCAGCAAAAACAACGTTATGTCTTGTCAAGAATTCCTGCATTTCGGCCTTTTTAGACGAACAACTTGGTGGTTTATCGATAAGCATAGAATGATATGGTGCATTATCCATAACCACCACACATTTTCCTTCTTATTGAGACAATGCAGAAATTAATTGTCTTTTCACCCAATTTTGAAAAATGTCCCCATTCATAACTTTGTGAAACTCTTTGTCAGTATTGTTAGAGTCCAGTAGTAAGTCACATCCATCCAAAAATCCCAAATAACACCCAGCATAAAGAATAGCGATCCTCTTTCCCTCAGCTCTTATTTTGGACTGGTTACTTTTTAGGTTTTGGCGTATACAGGCGAACCGTTCTGATACAACCAGATTTCATTCAAACAAATAAAATTGACTTTTTCTTGGAATTTAGGTACTGAAGATACTTTCTTAAAAATTTTATTCTGGCCGCGAAAACATGTTTTTGTTCAGATAGAATTTTTCGCTGGTTCACAAGTTTATATTTGTAGCCCATAGACTTTAGAATTTTGTATAAAGTAGTTCGCCCTCCCTTATAATCCAACTCATCTTTCGCGAATTTTAAAAGCATGTCTAAATTAAAATGAATATTTTTTGAATGATACTCCAAATTTTTCTCTGGAGATGTTCAAATCAGTTATTCCAATAGGGCATTATGTAGCGTTTGAAGCTACTTGGTATTTAGTTGTAAATTTTTATTTAAAAATGTCTTGGAACAGCAGGTTATACGGGACTGTTCATGACAGCTTAACTGTTGAAATGTATTTTTACCAGACAACCTATTTCAGTTTGTAACCTTGATTTTGCTACTTGCCAAATTTAATACTGTTTTCAACTGATAATCCTTAACTATGTATTATTATTATTATTGTTATTTTGTAAGATTATTGAGCGGCAATATTTACAATGTTACAGCTTAAGGCTATCTTTGAGGTTTAGTAATAAGATGTAAATAATTTTAAGTTAGTTAATGTTGTATACAGGCCCTCAGGTTGGTATGTTGCTAAAGCCATGCTCCGTAGACCGTAGCTAACTTCTCAAGATTATTTTCAATGTCATGTCATTCATTCCTGTCGTTCTGTAGGGCACTTTTCTGAAGGCGATCGAACGGTACAGTCGTACTTGGTCTGTTAAAATAATAGGGAATTATTGAAATACGGCCGCAGTTGACTGTGCCGCTTTAGTGCCGACCCAAAATTGACTGTGGCGAGCGCTATTTTGGCTCACAAAAGGAATTATTGAACGACACATTGAAGTCGGCAGTGGTGAACTTTGGCTTAGCAGTGGCATGTCATGTTTTATTTTCATATTCCTAACCTAAAATTGCAAAGTGTAAATACGTGTTTGGTGTTTTTTTAGTGATTCTTCTTGTAGTTTTTTGTTGAGTTTGTTTTGTTATTTCATCTATAATTTATAATGGAGGGTATTGGAGGCCGTATTATTAGGGGATGGAGATGGGGATGCTGTTGATGACGATGTGGAATACGTCATTCTAGACCACATTTCAAGGGACGAGAATGATGGGGCCCCGTGGTCATTGAAACGAAGTATTTGTGATTTTAAACTGTCTTTTTCTTCATAAGAGCCCATTCTAATGAAAAAATCCAACACATACAATCAACAGAGCAGGCAAATCGGCAAAAAACCTATAAAAACAGAACACCAAACACTGGTTAAGAAGCCACTAACCTGTCACTGGAAATTGAAGAAATAGGTTTGGTCGGACTTCGTTTAAAATCAGTTCAGAATTGAACTGATCGAACATATGTAAACCAATGCGCAAGCGCAGTTCAATTCAGAACTGATTCTGAACTAAATCTGAACAAACCAATAAATAAGTAAATAAATGTAAATTAATAAAAAAGTGAGGTCAACATTTGAATAAGCCTAACGGACGTCAACTTAAAAAAAAAAGAAGAGACAGGGACGTGACTGTGCCTGTTTATGGCCTGTTTTTATTTTCCACAAATAGTGGAAGGCACAAACCTTAGAGCAGGTAAAGGTAAAGGAGTACTAACCTGGATTTGGAAAATGAAGCCGTTTTTTTCCAGGTATCTTGGCCCACAAAAAATGGCGGTTATGGCAATTCAATGCTCTACCTGTATTTTGGTGCCAAAAACCTGCCAAAAACTTGGCTTCACTTTAGTTTCATAAGCAGAATGGCGCGTTCCTACTCCTTATGTCCGTAGGACAGCGCTTTACCTGCTCTAAGGCACAAACTTTATTAGTGGCGGCACTAAAAATTAACAGCACTGCCACAACGCGCACGTCTCAAAAACGTCAAAATATTGCCTAGCGCTATTAGTGCCTGGCATTTTATACTCTTCAAATAATTCCCTAATAATTTTGTCCCTCGTGCCTTCAGAAAGTCAATTTTTTTCGAGTTACCTCGACTTTTACCTTTAAATGAGTAAAGTTAAAACGCTCATAGCGGCCTAGTGCTAGTGGATATGTTTTTCCTTGTGTTTTGGAGAAAATTCCATAACCTCATTTGAGACCATCGCCGGTAAGTTTGGTTTTCCAAGTTTATCCAAGGCATCCTGCCTAATTTAACCTTGTATTACAGCTTAAAGTGCATTTGGACGGCCTGGGATATGCCCTCTATCAATATTATCGTGGTTCAGCCACTCATTTTGTGTCCAGATCCTTGATTTTCAAGGTAAGCTTGCTTCGGCTATGATATTCCTTTAAATCACTATGCAAGGGTTGCTGTAAAATAAAAATGTAATTATTAGGATCTACCGCGGGGCCCCAACTTTAATGGTACTAACCACCAAAAACCACTACACTTTATCTATGAGAGTATGCAGCTCGCAGCCTCCAGCACCTTTTGGCATGTCTTCATGGTGGTTCTTGTGAGGGTGATCTAGTATCCTGAAGGACATGGATTAAACAGTTTTTTTTATATTTATAAGATTAATTTTTTACCTTGAAATCTTTGGATTTAAGTAATAAACTTCGGTCCTGATCAGGCCAAGGGTTATTTTGCACTGTTACATTGCACAGGGTGCAATGAATTATTAGGGAAAATTTCAGCTTTTTACGTTTAAGAGATTTATCGAGGGATATTTCTTGCGCTCAGGCTTTAAAAAACATCAAAGCTTCAATGAAATAAACAAAAATGAGTGCAGACATTTGTTACAATTATTTTTGGATTACCTCCTTTTCAGATTTCTTTTGTTATGCATTTTTTGGATAAAGTTCATTTGAGGATTTGGAACTTAAAAATTAAATCTTCTGGCGCCAACTATAGAAACTCCTTACTCACCCTAATATTGCTCTCCGGCGAACAGCTGCCATTGTAGTATACTTTTTGTTAAAAAATAGGCTACATAAATTGACGCCCAACTTATGGGGCTCGAGTGTCTAAAAAAAATTTTCTGAAAATTATAACAACTGTCTCTACTTGTTCTGTAGTTTCTTGGGCTAAATTATTATAGCATACTTATGCCTATCTACCATTGTTCTGTAAATTGGTTTGCGTAGATGACTATTTTTTACCTGCACTCTAGTTTTTGAAATTTTTTTGAGTTGAAATTTCAACTTATTATTGAAATGATCCTTTAACTGCGGTTGATTTTAAATTCCAATTTATCACCTTACATGTTTAGTCGTCTGCAAAACACGTTTATCTTGGTACCGCATCAATAATACCGGTTCCCTGGAATTTCTGATATTAATATTTAGTCATTACACTAATTATTTCTCTCAATCGAATTTTTCAATTTATCTTTCTTACTCAGTTACTTTCCTATCTATAACTATTATTTTTCTATCAATATGGCTTTCTTTTCTGTCAATCATCTCTTGGAATATGAACTCCATTACGAGCTAGCCATTAGGTGCGTTGAAACGGTTTGTAATGTGACTGATAATAAGGATGAAAATATATCGATTCTTGACCTTGAGGACAGTAATTTGAAAAGCTTGAATCCTTTTTTATACAGTGATGGGATATTAAGAGTTAATGGTAGATTATCACAGGCTAACCTTGATTATAATCAAAAATTCCCTATTATTTTACCCGCTAAGCACTATGTTGTAACGTTGATTATTTGCATGGAGCACATTAAACATTTTCATGCAGGTTCGCAAGCTGTCTTGGCAAATTTAAGATCAAGATATTGGTTAGTTCTAGGCATGAGAGAAGTCAAATCAGTTTTAAAAAATTGTGTTATATGTTACAAGTTTAAAGCAAAAACTTCTACACAGCTTATGGGATCTCTATCGTTGGATAGGTTTTCAGCTGCTCGTCAATTTTTGCGGGTAGGAATAGATTTTGGAGGTCCTATTTTGGTGAAACAATCCAGACTACGTAGTTCACTATCAATAAAGGCTTACATTGCACTTTTTTTCTGTATGGTGTCATAAGCAATCCATTTGGAATTAGTCAGCAGTTTGAGTAGTGAGTGTTTTTTAAATGGTGGTTGTCCGTCAACGATTTACAGCGATAATGCGTCTAATTTCCAGGGTGCAAACAATATTTTGAGAGATGTTTATTTACTTTTTAAAAATCAATCAAATCTTGGGAGAGTTCATGTTTTTCTAGCAAATTAAGAAATTGAATGGCGGTTTATCCCTCCGATGAGTCCTCATTGGGGTGGGCTATGGGAAGCAGGCATCAAATCGACAAAGTTTCATCTTAGGAGAATTGTAGGAAATTTAACATTGTCGTTCGAAGAGATTACTACAGTTTTAGCCCAGATAGAGGCTATTTTAAATTCAAGGCCTTTATGTTCCATATTATCAGATCCGTCAGACTTTGAGGTTTTGACTCCATCTCATCACTAAATTATGTCCTTTACCATTGAGGAAGGGGATTCATGTTAGTCGAAGCAGGCGCCTCAACGGGGGGAGGATGTTATGATTTGAATTCCTAATTTAAAAAACCGTTACGGCACCCGCACATTCCCTTTTCTTTATCCCAGCCTATCAAAACGCGCCACCTTCAGCTTGTCTTCTAGAATTTTTTTTGTTCGTTGGAGAGAGAAAGAAAATAACCGCGTGGCGTCATAAGAGTCGACAATCGACATATGGCAAGTATCTTTGCGAGCGGTACGTTGCTAGCTCGTGCTTCGTGCAGTGAAAAAAGCAAAGCTGTTTCTTAGCCTGGGTGCACAAGTACAACATTTTGTTAATGTTAAAATTAAGTATGTTTTAAAGTTATAATCACATTGTGAATGTAGAAGTTTCAGTAGTTGATGTGTTTTGGTCAAATAAAACCATTGAAAACCAAAAAAGGCCTTAGTGTTTGAGTTTCATTTAATGGTTACTGGAGTTCCCGGAAATAAAATTCAATACAGTCCACATGGGTTCAAACAAGGTCTGTTTCTACAGAAACTCCAACCCAGTCAGAGTGAATTTCATTGGTTGAAACTAGTTTTTTGACTGTTTCTGACTGTTTTCAACCAATGAAATTTGCTCCGACTGGTTTGTGATTTCTGCAGAAACAGACCTGCTATTATCCTTCGAACAGACGTTCAACAGATTCATACGATGAGGAATACTATTTTGAAATAAGTACTACGAGATGGGATGATGAAGATGATTACGAGTATGACGAAGAACATAGATCTATATGACATTATTTGCAGAAATAGTTCTGACGACCCTGAAAGATGTCGTTCTGCTGGAAGTAGGGAAATAAAGATTATTAGATGGATTCATTATGGAGCTGAGTAGATGTATAGACATAGGAAAGTAGCTGGTGCATCTTGACAAGGTAGAGATCGGAACAAAGTATTTGAAGAGGGAGCTGCGTAATTGCATCGATGCGGAAAAGCCGACGCCACAGTGCGCACGACCGTTGCGAGAATCTTCAGGAGTTTATTTCTATCATGTGCATTGAATGAAGTAGAATTTACGAATATCCTAGAGAGACTTCTCGGTGGATTGTTGATTGGTTTCGTATGTATAACGACTAGATTGTGAATAATTATCTTTTTTCGTAGACCTTGTTACTTGGATAAAAATCTCCTTTTGTAGGGCTTGCAAGCACAAATAGATTCGAGTACTCGCAAGCATTTAAAGTGTTTCCGAGCACTCTACATACACTCTAATAGAACTGTTCATACCCGCTGCCTTTCTTGTACCTTCCTTTTTCATATATGGCAAGTAATTTGTGCTTATAATTTTTGGCCGGTCAAAAACTCATTTATCGCCGGCGAAAATGTTACGACCAAGCGGCAAATAATAGAAGCCTCCTTTAATATTAAATTACTTTCATATTATATTTCTAGACCAATTAAAAAGATATTTGGACAATTCTTAATTAAAATCTATTATAAAACTTAGAATCTAAATTCAATCAACATCAATTTTCCTAAAATTTCCATAATAACCAAGAATTTCGTCATTTTGCAGTTTGGCTGGTCTCAAAGATTCATCTACGGTTAGTTTTTCCAGTTCAAGAAATCGATCTTTGTGAAGTTCATATTGTTGATGCAACATATCTAAGAATTAATTGAAAGTATTACTAGATTTTCAATAAGCTTTGAAAAAATTTCTATACAATTTAGTTCCTCTAAGGACTTCTCTTCACCTCCTATATCTCTAGGCATTCGCTCCTTGCCGAATACTTTAAATAGAATCTCAGTGCCAGAATGTGTTTGGAGCTAAACAAAATAAAAATTGATATAAATATTTATCAAAGATATTATAAATTATAGTAACTCACTCGTTCTCTTATTTTTTTATGAAAAAGTGGTTTGACTACTGTGTTAAAAAAGTTGTCCAAAAACGCCGAAAAGTTTACCATGTACAGCGAAGCTACTCGATTGGAAAACACTTTCTGGAAATGATGAAAAGTGTATAAGCTTCAATCTTAAAATAAATCAAAATTGTATTTAAGTCCTAATTTAAATTTCCTCGGAAAAACAATATCATCAACTTTCAAGAAATATCCCTACCTAGAAACTTGACCTAGGAAATATTTTAAACAAAACTTGAAATAAGAGAAAACTATGGTAAGTTGGTAATTTTAATTTATTAGGAAAAACTTGCCTAAAATTCATGCACCTAAATAAATACATAACTTCTTACTTCCAAAACAATCTGATACTTCTTTAAAACCATAAGATTTGTCTTGACACCATGTTCCAATTTCAAGCCATCGCAATCACAAATGTAATGAATACGATAAGACAAGTCATTTTCGGCAATCAATGTCAATAAATGTATAAACTGGACTTGTAGATGTTCGTGAACAAAATATTTTGGATCTGGATACTCCGGATTCAATTTGATGTAGATGATTCTAATATGGTCGTCTGCTAATTTTGGAAGTGGAACCACATACCTAAAAATTGTGCTTCGGAAAAAAAATACATAAAGATTTCGGCAATTACCCATTTCTGGGTTTACTCAACAGAAGTGAACTTTAAGTTATATGTTACAGTAGCTTAACCAGTTAAAATATAAGATAGAGTATTGATTCCTTTACAGTATGATACGTTATGAAGTTGCCTCGGGAACCCGCCGGATTCTAAGAAATGCAATTTTCTGCGCGTCGCGTAAACAAGTCGGAGAATTCTATTCAAATAGGGTGCCAGGTTTTCCTAGATAAATCCCAAGTGAATACACTATCTACTTTAATATCGCGAAGTAGTAGATAGCTTAAGTGATAAGTAAGTCAGTTTTAATTCGATATTTGTCGTGTATGTTTCGATAAGTAATAAGTGAATTTTATAAAGTCAACAGGAAATTTGACTTCGCTACAGAACCTAAAATTCAAAATCAAGTTTCAAAAAGATGATGCAGAACAATCTATGGTAATTACACGACAGCAAACAGCCAAAATGGGCGACTTCAAAAAGAATTTGAAAGATAAAAGACAAGAAGAAGCTCGAAGACAGGCAGAGCAACAAGAAGAAAAAAAGCCGAAGGCAAAAAGAACAGGAACGGCTTGCAGCACTTTTACAAGAACAATAAGACCAAAGGCAGAGAAATGACAGGGCCGCCTTGCAACACTTTCACAAGAACAGGCAGACCAGGACCAAGACAGAATAAAAAAAAACAAGAAGAAGACCGAAGATAGAAAGAACAGGACCGGCTTGCAGTACTTTTACGAAAACAAGAACAACGGTGACAAGAAGAACAGGACCAGCTTCACAAAAATGTCAAGTATCAGCGTGAATGGATGCAAACCGTAATCTCTGAGGAACAAACTATAGACTCCCAAAAATTCTGGAAGTATCTAACAGATAATCAATTCACGAATGCAATGGAATAAGGAGTACGCGAAGAAGTTAGGAGCGTTCGTCTCGAAGTTCATCAGGAAGTTGTGAATGTTCATCAGAAAGTTGAAACTGTTCATCAGGTAGTTGAAACCATTCACCAAGAGATGGTAAATGTTGAGAAGACGATTGAAAAATCGGAATATTTAGGTCAGGAGATGTCTCAGCCGCGCCTGCACCTGGTATTAAAGTTAAGCCACAACCATATGAACGAAAGACATCGTAGGCCATGTACAGACGTCAAGTCGAGATTGTTGAAAGCTCGATAGCATGACTACAAGCTTGATTGTGGCATTGCGTACAAGGTAGCAAAGATCTGCAGAAAGCCTATAAAAATTTGAAACCGACATTCGTCGTCTGGTTAATTTGACCTATCCGGAAGCAGCAGCAGAAATGCGAGAACAGCTAGCGACCGACTTATGGAATAGAGTTCCAGATACGGACGTACAGAAAACGCTGCTCATAAAAAAACCATCAAGTCAATTGAAGAAACAATGAAGGAAATTCAAACGGCTGAGATCTCGCTTTTCTTTTGATGACGTTCAGCCTGCAATGGGTAACTTTGTAAACTGTGAAAGAAAAGGACATTTCAAACGTGACTGTAGAGTACAACTGAGATCTTGCTCTTCATCCGATGACTGTCAACCTTCAATTGAGAGCTTGCATAGCTGGGCATGCTCAGATCAAGACAACAACTGCCTCAGAATTTCTCAGCTAGAAAGAGTTCCTGCTAGAAGCTTTCGATTGGATGCGGATCAAGGACGGAATCCCGAACAACTGGGAGAGAGTGACTTCGACCCCGGATCGTTTTTCGAGATAAGGAGAGCCGGGGATAGATTAATGAAATGTAGAAAAGAAAAATCCGGCAAGAAGAAGAAAGAAAAACTAGGAATAAGAAAATTGTTGGATTACGACTGATGCTGATTCAGAAGGTTGAAGTTATCGTTTAAACAATCGCTCTGCAAATTTCCATGAAGAGGTCTGCTACGAGCGCTGCGACCATCCACGAAAGCGCAGGAGAGGCAGTTGGCAGTATCGCAATCAACAGGAAACAGGACAAGGTAGCCATTCATCTAGTATCCATGACGTCAGTCCAAGGGAAGAGCCATGCATACATGAGGGTAGATCTGAGAAGTCAGGGAGGCCTAGCGTTCAGGTCGCAGTCGTCCGCAGATGCAAAAGAAGAGATTAAATTATTATGGATCTGAGTGGCGGTATAGACGAAGTGGAGGTGGTAGTCAGATCGGAACCATGGTTCCGGGTTCAAGTCTCGGCAAGGTGCATGGTTGTATTTGTGAATGTTTCCTCCTCTACATGTAATTACCTACACGGTGTTTGTAGAGTGTATCCACATAAAAACTGGATTTCTCACCCAAATTAGTCGAAATCGAGGTATCACAAGTTATGGTTGGTTATCTAATTTAGATTTTTATGTAAGTTGGCAGCCATCTTGAATAAGAGCTACTGTAGTCGCCGGACGCCATTTTCTATAGGTGTGAAATTTTTGTAATTTAAAGTCAAAGAATAGTCCTAATGAGTATTTTTTTTCAAAAAATAAGCCATTTTACGATATTGCAAAAAATGAAGTCGGCTATTTTGAAAAAATGGCGGAAAATCCCCTGGAAGACTTTTTTGGGGACTCGACTAAAATCTCTTAAAATCGCCTTAAGAATGTCGGTGCCATATTTCATGCTTGTATACCTAATAGCCACATTTTTGCTTTCTAAAGCCGTTATCCTCTGTACTATTATTCTTAGATTCTGAATAGTTTTAGAAAGTACATTAAATGAGCAAACTTTCTTGGTCTATGACAAATGAAATGTCTATTCACCATTGCAAGACTGAATTCAGAATCTAAGAATAATAATTTTTTTATCTACAAGCGTTTGGTTATGACGTTTTCACATAGGTACCCTTTTTCTAGTATTTGAGTTATGTCATGAGACTCATAACACAACTAGTGATATTATGGACTAGGTTATGAATTCATAACACAACTAGTGGTGTTATGGACTAGGTTATGACTATAACACAACTATTTTTGATGATTTGATAAATGTCGAGTTGCTTTATCAGCCCTTTCAGTATTATCGTTGACTTTCCGGACAATGCGGTACCCCTGCGGAAATGGTATTTTTTGAAGAGTAGGAAAAAGATACCTTTGTCGAGTGTAGGTACACGATCGGGTACACTGCATCTTGCGACCAATAGGCGGCATTGTTTATGTTTCAAAGTTGTCATCAGGGGTTATTGTTAAAATCTATCTTGGGAAATAATACACTTTAAAGAGACTTCTCGGTTGGTTGGTTTCGTATGTAAAACGCGTAACTAGTGAATAATTCTCTTTTTTTGAAGACCTTGTCACTTGGAAAAAAATCACTCTTTGAAGGGCTCGCAAGCACAATTAGATTTAAGTGCTCGCAAACATTCAGTGTTTCCGAGTACTCGACAGAAAAAAGTCTTAAGTAACAATTACTCAACAACTTACGAATTATTATAAAATTCTAAATGAAACTGTTCATACCCACTGCTTTTCCTGTACCTTCCTTCTTCATAGATGGCAGGTAATTTATGCTTATAGGTATTTTTGGGCCGTAATATAAAATTACTTTTATATTATATTTCTACACTGATTGAAAGGATATTTGGACAATTCTTCTTAATTAAAATCTGTTATAAATCTTAAAATCTTATTATTTCAATCAACATTAATTTTCCTAAAATTTCCATAATAACCAAGAATTTCGTCATTTTTCAGTTTGGCCGGTCTTAAAGATTCATCTACGGTTAGTTTTTCCAGTTCAAGAAATCGATCTTTGTGAAGTTCATATTGTTGATGCAACATGTCTAAGATTTAATTAAAAGTATTACTAGTTTCAATATAGACTTTTAGAAAATGTTCAAACCATTTAATTCCTCTAAGGACTTCTCTTCGCCTCCTATATCTCTCGGCATTCGCTCCTTGCCGAATAATTTAAATAGAATCTCAGTACCAGAATGTATTTGGAGCTAAACGAAATACCAATTGATAAATTTATTGAAGATACATAATAAAAATTATAGTAACTTACTCGTTCTCTTAATTTTTTATTAAGAATTGGTTTGGCAACTGTGTTAACAAAGTTTTCCAAAAACGCCGGAAAGTTTACCATGTACAGCGAAACTATTCGATTGGAAAACACTTTCTGGAAATGATGAAAAGTGTATAAGTTTCAATTTTAGAATGAATCAAAATTGCATTTAACTCCTAATTTAGATTTTCTCGGAAAAACATTATCATCAACTTTCAAGAACTATACCTACCTGAAAAGTTGACCAAAAAAATATTTTAAACAAAACTTGAATTAAGAGAAAACTATGGTAATATTTTGGTAATTCTAGTTTATTAGGAAAAACTTTCGTAAAATTCATGGACCTAAATAGATAAATAATTTCTTACTTCCAAAACAATCTGAGACTTCTTTAAAATCATAAGATTTGTCTTGACAGCATGTCCCAATTTCGTGCAATCACAATCGCAAATGTAATGAATACGATAAGACAAGTCATTTTCGGCAATCAAAGTCAATAAATGTAAAAACTGGACTTGCAGATGTTCATGAACAAAATATTTTGGATCTGCATACTCCGGATTCAATTTCTGGTAGATGATTCTAACATGGTCGTCTGCTAATTTTGGGAGTGGAACTATGTACCTAAAAATTGTGGTTTGGAAATATACATCGTTATAGACTCCGGTAATTACCCATTTCTGGGTTTACCCAACAGAAGTAAACTTTAAGTTTCATGTTACAATGGCTTTACCAGTTAAAACATAGCGAGTATTGATTCCTTTACACTATGATATTGTTACGAAGTTGCCTCGGGAGCCCGCGGGATTCTAAGAAATGCAATTTTCTGCGCGTAGTGTAAACAATTCGGTGAATTCTATTCAAATAGGGTGCTAGGTTTCTCTAGATTATTCCCGAGTAGACTGTCCACTATAGATAACGCGAAGTAATAGCTTAAGTCAGTTTTAATTTGATATTTGTCTTGTATGTTTCGATAAGTGAATTTCATAAAATCAATTAGTTTACTAAAAGTTGTTACTGTTTGTGAAGCGAGTTTTAGTGAACTCCGGAATTCATTCATACCGGTAAAAGTTGATAAGAACAATAACTGGATAAAGAAAAAACTCTCAACAAAACAGAAAAAGTAGTTTCAACGTTTACCATATGTTCCTTTGAAAAATCATATCTTTAGTCAAGGGATTATTACGGAAAAATTCCGGCACTAAACTTCTTGCCGTATAAAACATGTCCAGCTTTTGCTTGGCTGCTTCTATACTGAATTTATTATACAAAATGACAAAACGAAGCAAATTAACATCTAAAAATTTTACATTTAATTAAAGAAACATTCATTCTTCATAGTTCTTACTTGGTTTCTCGGGAAAATGCTTCTGAGTTTCAGCCCATTTTTTCATCATATTAATAAAGCTATTCAGGTCTTCTTTGGTTTTGTTGAAGTCCTTGAAAAGCTGTTGGTAAAATTTACTTTCATCATATTCTAATAGATTATTAGCCATTTTAACGTAGACTGATGCCTGATGCCTGAAAAGGACTATAACAAATTGGTTGGTTCATTAATTTGTTTCATAATATAATTACTCAAATTAATGTTTGTATAACAACAATAATTATTACCTGTATCAGTTTTTAATGAAATTATTTTAATCTATTAGCAAAACGTACCTACCAACTTTTTTATTCCATAAATAAGTAAGATTTTATTGAACTTACCTATCACTGAAACGTTATTCAGGGTATTCGAAAATCATTATTATAAGTTAGTTATACTTGGTATCAAATTGAAAATAAATTCTCTCACCAAACCTATTGGAAGTAGAGTTCGATCAATCCTCCTCGAGCAAAAAGATGACAACCGCATGTGACCAGAGAATGTTGCCCATAACCCAACCATCCAGCGCGGCTCCTAATTGTAGCACTTTATAAAAATCCAAGCAACCTATTAGATCCGGCCAAAAATCAGAAAGAAAAGAACCAATAAGAGAAATTAAAGACACAATGAGATAATTTTTGGAAGAAATACCAAAAGTTGCTACCAGAAACAATCGAAGGAACCTACCAATAGATCATCAAAAAACTGGAAGAAAGAAAAATTCTACGAGCGAAGACAGAAAAACAAGAAAATTGATGGTATACGGCTGATCCAAGAAGGTCGATATTAGGATTAGAAAGACTAGCATCCGCGCAGGCGCACACAAAGCGACAGACACTTAACATAGAACTCAAGGGCATTATTCTTCTTATTCTCGTGACGTCATTCGATGGGGAAAAAAACACTCCAGGCGTCAGCGTAGACCTGAATGGACAGGAAGCCATTTGGCAGGCAAAGAGATGTCATGTATGTGGATAGGATGGGATGCTGAAGGATGAAGATGATTACGAGTAAGTATGACGACGAACATAATTTCCACAGTTTTTCTGAAAGTAGAGCTAGATGAATAATAGATGGATTCATTATGGAGCTGAGTGGATATATAAACATACAAGATTAGCTTGTGCATCTTGACAGGGTAGAGATCGGGACGATTTGTTTTGAGAGGGAGCCATAGGGAAACTATGGGGGCAATGGGGGCTTGAGCCCCCGTAACGCTGCTGAGGATTTGTACCTTATAACTGCGTCATAGCTACAACAAATTCCAAAGCCATACAGTAAATCATAAGTTGTCTTGACGAATAAGCGTAATGAAGTGTTACACCAAGAAACACTTGTAGTTATATACCTATTCGTTTTTCCAATAAGTCGTTGGATTATTTCCTTTCCGTTTGCATGATGTACCAATACACTGGCCTTTACAAATTACAAGTCCTCCTTGATTGCAGTTAGCTACAAGCGATGTTGCCACATCAAAAGCATTTTAAATGGGATTTTGTCTAATTATGGTATTTAAAACTGGAAATTTTTGCTAAAAAATTAAGAATACTCCAAAGCCTCGTATATTGAATCGTTTTTTTTTCCATTAAAAAGCCCCGGAAAAGTGGAAAATCCGAGGAAAACTGGCAAAAAATCACAAGACGTCACTCCAAAATGGCCGACTAAAAGCAACGTTGCCACATCACATTTCGAAAAGCAAAAATAACCTTTTAAATGAGTTTTTTGTTTAAAATTCAATTAAAATTTGTTAAATAATTAATTAATAATGATTATACTTAGTAATTAAAATTCCCTAAATTAAACATCGAAAACTTGTTTTTAGTTTAATGTCAATGAAAATTACAGTACAAGGATTACTTGTTGATTATAGTGAGTAAGACAAAGACAAAAGTAAAGTAGTATATGTTTGCACAAATCACCGTTTTCTAAAAAAAGTAAAAATCTTAAGAAAACCACCCGCGCGTTGCCCTCCCCTGTCCCGCTGGCTAGCGGCGCCCATGCATATTGGCGCAGTCAATGGTAACTGATATAAATATACCTAATTTAGATTAAAATTTAAAATAATAATAATTTTTTTAAACAAATTTTTCGCTTTACTCCTCTATCCCAGAAAAATCTTCCTCGAAAATTACCAGAAGCCAGAAGCGTTTATCCGGAAACGCTTTACAATTACGTTTCGTTAGTTCCGTACTTCCGGCGTAGCATTTGGTTCAGGAGCCGCTCGACTTCCTGTTATCTTGGAAAGTGTTGGAATGAAACACGGTAAAACATTGATTGTGTGTGCGCCCCAGATTTTGTGTTTTAGGAAATTCAACGTTGTCGGACCCAAGGGGAAATTGTCGGAAAACAATAGAATAAATTCGACCGATTACTTCTTTTATAATTGACAGATTTTCTTTCGTTATAGACTTATTGTAGATTTGAAATACTTGGTTATTATACTCCATTTATTTAGATAACTGAAAAAATTAGGGAATATCACAAACGGTATCTATTCTATAGAATTGCTAATGTAGTATTTGATATATTCCAGTTTATTAGGTATAGTTTAGTCCAAAAAAAAAGGCATCTAAACTGTGATTGAAACCGATTAAAAAAAGAAAAATTATATCAGCTGGAGATCCAGTTAATCAGATCAGCGTTTCCGTAGACACTTTCCAGATAACCTGATCCGGCAAATCCGGGACAGAATAATCATGGGAATTTGTGATAAGGGGTCGCGTTAAAAATTTGAGAATCAAAGCACACTTAAGAAAAGTATGTTGATTCCAATGCTGATTCTTATCGTGCCATAGAGACTAGTGAATCCCCAAGTGTAGGTTCACTTGATCTGACTAGCCTACGGCGGCTCTCTGGTTCAGAATTTATCTGATATTCTGCAGAGGTTGCCTTTAACTTGATCTGTAATGTGCTAAATAAGTGGACTGTAGGTTTAGGAATGAGAAAAAAAAGGCTGGTCTGAATTTAACAACAAATTTATTCAGGGTATGAAAATTGAAGAACGGCTGGGGGTTGCTGAATTATTACGCGCAGTAACTGAAATCGGGCGTACTTGCACTTTCGAGTCTCTCTCCGTACTGCGTTCGTCTTCGTCCCGGTTCCTCTTTTTTTCCAAACTTCGTCGAGGGTGGCGTTGCTAGCAGTCTGTCAGGAACTTATGCAGTTTCGACGTTGTCACTGTATCGACCAAATGAAAGAAAATAATATTTTCCTTGAATGAAGTCGAAACATGCCGTGAAAACACATTAAAGAAAACTTGGAAGAAAATCAAGTTGAAAGATGTTGCAAACTTTAACCTAGCTTATTACCTACTCTAAATCAGAATAAACCTTAGATGAATAACCATAAAGAAATCAAATCAAAAATCTTGCAAATTCTAACCTAGCTTAATCTAAATTAGAATATACACATTAAAGAGAATCAAATGAAAAAAATACAAATCTTAGCCTAGCTTAATCTAACTTAGAATACGTCGGTATCCGTCAAACTGTAAAAAAACATAGCTGATACAAATTTATTCCAAAGGTAAAGGGGCTAATTTTACAACCGCACGTTTGATAATTCCCGAGGAAGTCTTAGCTGAGGCAACGCGTACTGTACCGTCCTGTCCCGGATGAATTTCGCACACGCGCGTACGCGTCCCAAACGCCACTTGAAGGAAGGTATATCGTTATCATGGATCAACACTAAATCATAAACTGCGAGATTTCGAGTTTGTGTTTTCCACTTTTGTCCTTGTTGTAGTTCGTGTACATACTCACAAAACCACCTTTTCCAAAATTGCTGTTGGGGTGTCCGTTAGATCAGGCTGAGGAATAGAGCGAGAAGACCTATCGATTAAAAAATGCGATGGCGTTAATGCGTCTAAATCTGTGGGATCACTCGACAGTTTTGTAAAGGGTCTTGAATTCAAAATACATTTTATTTGTGTTATAATGGTACAAAACCTTTCAAAGGTAAACACTGTCGGAGAATCTGTCAGGACTTCGTATGCGATTTTGAAGATTTAATGCCTGCCTCCCAAATTCCTCCTTGATGAGGGGAGTATGACGCAATAAAATGCCATTTTATGTCCAAGTCGTCACCAAGATTTTTGATGATATCATTCCTACTGGATTTTAAAAACTGACCTAACTCCTTGAGTTTATTATTTGCACCAATGAAGTTGCTGCCGTTGTCGGAGTATACGTTAGATGGCCGTCCTCTACGCGCTATTAACCTATTAAACGCTTCAAGAAATGCAGCAATGCTCATGTCACCATCTCTAGGTAAACAGCCTTTACCGATAAACATATAAAAAGACACAGGTAGCACTTGAATGTTCGACCTCCACTACCTTTCCTATCCTTGAAAAGAAAGGGACCCATATCTACCCCTACGTCAGAAAATGCGAAAGTGGGATATACTCTTGGTTTCCGTAAATCACCCATCATAGGATGAACAAATTTAGGTTTGTATTTGAAACAAACAATGCATTCGCGAATGACAAGTTTGCAGTGGCGGATCTAGCATGAAGCAAACGACGCACTGTGCGTCGGGCCCCCAGAGCTGAGGGGCCCCCACACAACCAGATTCTAAAGGGACCGATAAAAACAAATAAAAAAAAAACTCGTAGATATAAAAAAAAAAAAAACGAAAATTAAATTTTGAAAGTGACGGCAACGTTGTATACCAGGATGCCTATTCTTGAAACCGGGGAACAGCGTTCTCACGAGAAAGAACGATTGCTCTGTCAGTGTTATGGAAATAGAAATATGGGCAACTAAGACAGAAGGCTTATCTCCTGTTTCGACAATAAAGGCCCTGTAGGGAATCCAGGGCTGGAATCATGACAAGTAGAATTCCACTTTGATGACGTCATTCGCGACACATTTATCGCGCGACAATTGTTAGGCAACCTGACGTCATAAAAGAGAAATTCTAGTAGAATGTCATGATCCCAGCCCTGATGCACTCGACGCGATAATGCGGCAACCGCGGACGCGTCGAATTTAGGCGGCTTTTTTAGCTATTAGGCAATTTTTCGCGAAGATAATCAAGCATAATCTGATTATGCTGGGTTATGTGATGTGTCAATTGTATCATACTCCCCTAACTTCCTCTACATCAAATTCTAGACCTGCGAGT